GTCGAGTTATTAAACTTTTAAAAATATTTAAAATTTTAAAAATTAAAGTTTAGTTTAAAAATTTAAACTTTGTACTGAAGAATCGAGTTTCTTTTAAAATGTAGTCTCCGTTCATTTTGAATACGATAGTCGTCTCAAAATTCTTTCAACTACCGACAGTGTTTTTGGAAAAAATATTTTTTGCACATTGATACCTAAAAAATCATGATTTTCTAGAAACCCTACTTCTAAGCATCTTGAAAAAAACTAAGTGAGCCAAAAGAAAGGGCATCCTTTCAAATCCTTATGCACCAGGTTTCATGAAGTTTGATCAGCGTGTGTAGAAATTAGCCTAGATCAATTTTCTCATCTAATATGCCTGTTATATAATGGAAGAAGAACAGTTTTAACAAAAAAAAAAGACGAATGATGTTTCTTAGTTTTAGTTTATTTCCACAAATTAAATAGAAAATAAAAGCAAAACAAAAACTGAAAAAGGAGAAAATAACAAGAACCTCTGTTTCGAAATTTATCGGTGACCAGACAATTCGTCTTTTTGCAAAACTCACTTAACAGATGAATTTTTAGTACTCTGTCTGCATACTATTAACCTTTGTCGTAGAGACAAACAATTTGTCTAATACCGTTTTTTTGCTGAAAATACTTCAGAAAGTTTTACCACTTGGGAGTCTTCTGTCAAGTGCGTGTGAGAAGGCAATCGCCTTTTTCGGATTTAATATTTTAGTTTTTTTTACCAAAAATTCGATATGTGACGAATTGTTCAATAAGACTAAAAGTACACTGTCGAAAAAGTACTAAGAAAGTTTCTGTTAAACAAATTTGACGAGGCCACGTATCTAAGATGAAAACAACGAAGAAAAATTGTTCTAGTACCCATTTTGTCATTATTAATTTTTTTTCTCATACAATAGCAGAAAAAAGCTTACACATAAACGCGCACTACCGCAAAACCAAAAAGGAAAAGCTGTTTATATCATCATGAAAATAAGAAAGCGTTTACAATCAAAAAAGAAAAATTAAAGAAGTCATTAGAATGATTTCTAAGATATTTATAGCATTGAAATTTAAAAAAACAAGAACAAACAAGACGTTGTAATTCAAACGTGAAGAATTTAATCGGTAAAAAAGTTATAACTAAAATTATATATGAAATCTATGTTACAGCTTTTGTGACGAAACACGTTTTTGGTACAGAAAACAATTTATATGTATCAGATATTTCGTCATCATAGAATTCTTACCTAATTATACATATTCGATAATCTGAGTTAGAAGGCGCAAACACTCGGCATATTAACTGTCAAAATATGCAATTTAGTAAATCCATCTTATAGATCAACATGATCTTTTTGACAAAAATGCTCGTTTTAAGAACGATTCATTTGAAAATATTAAACGATCTAATTACGTCTAATTAACGTATTCTAGTCATAGATTATGATTTAAAAAATGAAATGAAAATGAGAGGGAATTTTTTTTTTTCTTATTAATAAGAAAATTTTCATTTCATTTTTTAATCCATAATCCATTTATAAGAAAAAGAACATATACACAATTCTGTATATGAAAATACTACATTCAAACTAAAAAATGTTTGAATAATGTGCCAGTATGCATATACCCATTTTTTGCTTTATTCTAATGTACACTCACTATGGTAGAAAGAGGAAAAAAAGTAACGAAATTTCATTTAGAGTTTTTTGAGTAAAAGAAAAAGACAAAAGACAATAACAACAACAAGTAAAAAATATGTGTGCATGCACGTGTACAGTCACATTTTTATAATTTATATAAATAAGAATATATATATTTTTTTCTAATTGTTGAATATTTTTCTTTTTAATCAAATTCCATTATATTATGATTATATCCTCCTTGACTACCAGGAAAAGATGGTCCATTTGATGAACTGTTTCCACCACCTGCTGCTCCACCTCCATTACCTCTCCGATTATTCTGATTTGATGAATTATTTGTTGGAGAATATTGTGGTTGTTGTTGAAAATATTCATGATTACTAGTATTTTGACCATCTAATGTAACTCGACATGTAGGACATGTACCATGCTTTAACAGAGAAAAAAAAAATAAATATGATTTTAATTTTTGTTAATGTAGACACAATTTTGAAGAAAAATTTCTCGAGAAAATATAAATGGACGATTTATATTTAAAACAAAATTTCTATCTATCTAATTGACAGTAGAAATTTCACCGATTTTTAGATTATCTAGAAGAATTATTCTGATAAAAACACTATACTATAGACTTACGAGTCTTAACCAACGTGATATGCATGGTTCATGAAAATGATGGGTACAATTTAAACGTTTTGCTTCTTCGCCTTGTTTAAATTCATCCATACATATTGCACACTGTAGATTATCACCTTGAATAAAATATAAAATCTGTGGGATAGTCTTAAGTATCAGTGATGTTACTAGAATACTTACGTGCTTGTTCAGCTGTTATTTTCACTGTTGGAATAGTATTAATGCGATTTTCTGTTGCAGGTGGAGGACCAGAATTTTCAAATTGATTTAAAAACTATAAGAGAAGCACAAAATATTACCTGTGCAAGAGTATGGCTATAATTTTCTATTACTTGCGTAAGGAATGTATCAAGATTTTGATGATTTGATAGGCCACCACCCGGTTGCATAATGATATTTCTGCTTAAAAAAAAGTATAGGAACGATGATTTCCTTGTCTTTATAAAATATTGAACGCATGTGGAGAAGTTTATTTCAAGTTAAGAAGTTTCCTCAAATACTTCTGCTGACTACAAGCAACACAATAAATATTTGTAAAAAGCAGATGTTCTTCCTTTCCTTTTGGGTAAAAAAACAATTAAACAAAAATGTGATACATACAATGGCATATTTTCGGCCGATCCTCCAGTTATTTGATGAATGAATGTTTGAAGCATTTGTTCAAATCCGTTTCCTGCACCTTCAGAAGGCATTCCACCGACAAAGATTGTTTGACTAAGTCCAAGTGGCTAAAAACCAAAATATATGGAATAAATAATATGGAAACAATTTAAAAATCTCGCCATCTTATATATACTCCAGTCACCGACTGGAACTTTCTGAATTATCCAGAATTATTCAATCGGCTTTCTTTATGATTTTTTTCCTCAACATGATAGCTCAACAAAATCCGAAAAGTGATTTGAGCAGTTGAAAGAGTATCGAACCAAAAGGCGTGTTTATTAAGAACTTCATCGAAATTGCTGAACACTGAGTCTCCTAGAAAATTAACTTCCTGAGACTAATTAACCTGCATTCGATTAAAAGCTTTTTTGCAAACAGCTGGGTCGTATGGAGTGATTTTGGGAAAAATGAGATATCTCCGAACTCTCCATCACATTTTTTCATTAAGCTGTATTTACATCATAAGTTACAAATAAAACGAGATCTACCAAGAAAAACTCCTTTCTTTAACAACTATTAAGAATTGAAAGAAACTGTTCTAACTACTATTTCTGAAACATTTTCTAAATTATCACAAAGTAATAGTATTTGAAGACAATAACCAGTGTATCTAGTCACTAGTAATATCGTTACTGCTTAGTGACTCATACCTAATAGTCTGTAAATAGATAGATTTACAAAATAAAAAACTGATATTATCATTGATCGATAATATCGGACGTCAATAACTTTCATCATCGATTTTCTTAATAAAAAGATATCTTGAATGATCGAGATAATTTTTGTTCGATATTTCGATCTTTAAGAATATCGGTTCAATATTTTCGAGATATGTCGATCTTGGTGCATGCCTATTCATAAACTAAATACAATTTAATGAAAAAATGTGGTGGAGAGTTCGGAGATACCTCATTTTCCCCAAAATCACTCCATACGACCCAGCTGTTTGCAAAAAAAGCTTTTAATCGAATGCAGGTTAATTAGTTTCAGGAAGTTAATTTTCTAGGAGACTCAGTGTTCAGCAATTTCGATGAAGTTCTTAATAAACACGCCTTTTGGTTCGATACTCTTTCAACTGCTCAAATCACTTTTCGGATTTTGTTGAGCTATCATGTTCGAAGAAAAAAACAGACTAGGTTAACATATTTCGAATTTCGTTCAAGAGATGAGTTGAAAACCGGTATATACGACAATTGATTTTAGCAAAACTCCGAGTCGCATTGAAAATGATCAACCGGTTCTGCTGGCCACTAGTAACCAACAAACAGAATCAATCGATCGATCAGTTTCAACTTGCTCCGAATCACGCATATCTCTTTCAGGTTATCTCTTTTGCATAATAACAATTTGAGATGAAAAATGAACACTATAATTCATATACTTACTGTTCTTCCCATATGTCTAGGCCTTCCTGGTCTAAATAAATATCGAAAACAAAAGATGATTAGAAAAGTAGCAAGCTACAGAATGTCAAAAAACACATACACGTGTTGGACAGCTGGAACTTCTTCAATAAATCCGTCATTACAGTTGGGACATCTCGAATTCTAAACGAGAAAATATAAATTCTTTGAATACTATTTTACTGACATTTTTCAGAGCATTACCGCAATAGGTACAATATGTTGATCACATTTATAACAATAGAAACTTGGTGGTGATGCTGTGGCATGTCCACTAGCCATTTTTATGTGTGTTTATAAGTGAGAAAAATATGATTCCTTGCTTTTGCTTTTAGATAGTTACTAACAATAATCTGTAAATAAAGTAGCTATGTAGTAAGCGAGAGAAATAAAAAAAAAAGAGAAAATAAAAGTGTCACATGCAAATAAATGTGTCACTTTTGGGAATCTACCTTTCTCATTGGTGTGGGCTTTTTTTTCTATTTGAAAGAGAAAACTGCTGCTGCAATGTGTATAACGAGCACATAATCATCGAATAATGACTTCTTATTGTGACTTCGCATGAATCATTGCAATCATTAGAAGGAGAAGGAGACAGAACTTTCGAATAAAAATTTTTAATCACTGTTCTGTTTATTAGAAACAGATATACAACAACTAAATAAACTTGTGCTTGAGTCTATAATCAAAACGTAAATTACCTCCCTTCTCTCTGCATTTCTCTTTCTTTTCTTTTAGTTATCTCTCCACGCATTCGAGCATAAAATCCTTCAAATGTAGAGGAAACTAAAATATCTTTATGTCAATACTGACGAACTGAATTCGGAAGAAAATGTAACCAATAGCTCAGAGAATGCAACATATGATAATGTCAATATAGCAATCAGCAACAAACATCTAAAAAAGAAAGTACTTCTAGAAAAACAAGGCGCCACCGTTGACTGAAGATAACATTTTTTAGCACTGTTCATGTCATAATCAGTTCCCGTCTTTATTTTTTAGACCAATAAACTGAATTTTTCCTGTGTTACTGTTGAAAATTGACCGAATAAAAACGAGTCGACGAAAGTTTTAAACTTCAGAGTCGCCATCCTATTATGCTTCTCCTTTCTAACTATGGAAAACCAATTGATTTATTGTCATAGCTAAATCATAACACTACGATTTTAATTTCCGGCACTACTATTGTGAATATTGTAGGTTTTATAAAAAGTTTCATAAATGGAATGTCTCAATTCGCATGCTTAGCTATGCACGCTAAGTATTTGGTTATTAGTTCATTTAAGTTGTCATTTCGGGGGCCTGTTTCTCAAAACAATTTAAGTGCGGCCTGTTTCTCGAAAAAACCTAAGTTTTACTTAAGTGAATAATTTCACTTAAGTAAACAGGAAATTATACTTAAATGTTTTTGAGAAACTCACTTAAGTAAAACATTTTACTTAAGTGAAATTTTTCACTTAAGTAAAACTTAAGTTTTTTTGAGAAACAGGTCCCAGAATACCACTTCAATTAATGAAGACAAGTATTTGCAAGGATATAGAAGAAAAATTGATCAGTAAACGAATCTATTCAGTTTCTGTGTGAAACGAATGTTAATTTTGTAACAGCAGTTGTTCGACGATAATTCAGTACACAATCGTTCTAGCGTTAAAGACTAGAAAAGTCTTTTACTTTTGACAGTTTCATGCTATTTTCACCGACGCAAAAATCTCAGTAAATTATGCTGACCCTTTTGAGCTTGTACATATTCGAACTAGATTCTGTTTTGATTTATTTAGTCGATTTTGAACGAGTATTCAATTCCGCATAAGGAAACGGTCATGTTGCGTCCATTATCCGTCAAGAAAACTTTTATTTTGTTTTGTTTTTAAAACTTAGACTGCTTCATGTTCCATGAACTTCATGAAAAATAACTTCTAGAGGTTCTTCTTTATATGATATAAAGAAGAACCTCTAGAAGTTCCTTTTCAATTTGATTATATAAAAAAAATTATTACTAAAATATTTCAACATCATACTATCGCCAACATTCATAATAATACACTATTTTCGACGTTGAATCGAATTTTGGTGTTCATCGATCAAAATTCACCAAAGATTTAGCTAATTATGTTGGCTTCCTCCGTATTCCACTGCCGGATTTAGATCGTATGCATCATATGAATGAAGAAAACAACACAAATTAGAGACATTTTTTTAACGATTATTGTATGCATCACGACCGTTATCCGATAACAGAAGAATGGCATTTAGATCCAAGTCATAGTGCAACTATTTGATTAGTGAGACCTCTGCTACAAACTTTAACGTATCAATTAAGATACGGTTTGACACATATGTATAGTACAGGTATATTAATGCATTAACTAGAGGTCTTAGATAGAATTTTTTTATAAAATGGTAATTGCCAGTCTCAGACTGGCAGCAAAAAGCCGTTGAGAGTCTCAAAGTCAAGCTTGTAATTTCAGAGTAATTTGGTTTCTTGCACATTTGGTCGGCGTTTCATTTTTGGAAAATATAAGAAACTATATTACGCTAGAATGAAATGTGTTTGTGATCATGTTTTAAGAGCAGCAGAGTTGATTGTACTTTTTATGGTAATTTGTAGACTGGGAATGATCCTTACTAGTAGCCATGTATACTATCCTATTCAGTTTCAAAAATCGCTATACTAATACCAGAGATCGTTAGGGACCGCACAAATGCACGGGAGTCTACGGGCTAGACTGGGACCAGACTACAACTCGATGGTTCCCATGCGACCCGAGCCTTTTTCCCAAAAAGTCGATAAAATTACAAGACAATATCGAAAGGCAACACTCACATTAAATGTGGAAAAACGACACTATCTTTTCTTGAAAAAATGTCGCTGACGGAATTGTCTGTCCGTTGAGCATCCATTCTAGATACTACTATAGCTACTGACTAGAGTTTCTGTTTTTTAGGGTTGAATAAATAGACGTCGGAATACTCAGTAATAAAACAGTAACTAACACCTCTCTATCTAACAAATAACTGGACAAACTAAACTTCTAAATACAAAGAAATCAATGGATTTTATGTTTCAACAAGCTTACATCTACAGATATATTACCGAAGCCAGGGCTTTTAATATCATCTATGTTTCCATACTAATCCCGATTCTATGGGCTAGCCCACGAGCAGACCCGTAGAATGTAGAATGTATTCAGTCCAGCTTGCACGGGCCGCTCCGAAGTCAATTCTAAATCATCAAATTCTAAATTCTACTACAGTACACTTCAAACACAGTGATTGCTCGCTTGTAAAATGGCGTAATGATAAGTGAATTAATTTTCCTTAGAACCATCCCTTAAAATCAAACTGTATTTTAAAATTATTCTTCATTTTTAATAAATTCTAGGTGGAGAAATTATTATTGATCGATCATACTGATCATTCTATCCGATAATGCAAGCGTTACGACAACATAATTTTCTAAACGACGATTGTAAGTATGCAACACACAAGCAAGTTATCGTAAAGTGGTGAAATGAAGACGGATTACATTCATCGTAAGAAACTCTTATTTACACGTCACTAGTTAGTTTTTGTTGTTATTTATAGGTCATCATTTTCTCATGGAATACAAAGCAACATTGAATCATCATTTGAAGATGCCATAATTGATTATTTATTTTGATGAACACTAGAAGAAATATGGGATCGAATGCAACGAGAAGAAAAAGTAGAGTATTTTGTTTATCGACCTTCTTAACATCATGCTGACTTAATGTGGTTACTTTCATTATCTTTTATGGGCTTTTGTAAAAATATAATGTAGCTTTCATTTTTTTATGTTTAGGATTATCGAAAGAAAAGTAAAGTGTATTCATTGGAATTTTTTCGAACAATGGATCAAATAATGAAAGATGAATTTTTACCACATACGAGATAAACTGTTTTTCTACTATATTATATTGTTAAACAAAAATAAGCCCGATCTTTACCTTTTTTTGTCTAGTACATTCTGTCACATATTACAATATACTGAAGACAAACTCCATAATGTAAGTAAATAAGAAAAAGAAGACATTATATTGATTTTAATTTGTCACTTTCTGTATGGGTTTTAGGTTGTCTTTGACATTGAACAATTGGACTTTAGTATCGAAGGTAAATTTAAATATTGGAGAATAACAAATGATTTGAAAGTAGAATAGCATCACGCGTTGTAAGTAGAAAGAAGAAGAAAATAGTAATTTTTGTCCATCTATCTTTAAAGACATTTTATTGTTGTTATGTTATAAATTACAGAATGAGGAATGATGGATTCGAATGTTTAATATAAATCGTTATAAAAGAGCTTATGAATGGCGAACAGAACCAAATGCATTGAAATCTACTACTGTTATGATGAAATATGTACGTATAGAAAAAAAAAATTATTTTACTAAACCGTAGTCATATATCGATATGAATTGACTCGACTCTTCTCATTCATAGTAAATAACTTTTTTCATTATTGGTAGTAGTATCTATGTGCTTACGTTTTTAAATAGACAAAAATTTGTTTGTTTTTGTTTTTCCAGGATAAACGATATGATTGGAAATCAAACTTCTGGAATATCCGATCATTTTTTTTCCAATGTATATACGTGGAAACGTCTGCCATTCTATTAAATCGAGAGTTTTACTTAATTTTTGTATCTCTCTCATTTGTACCACATTATTCATCACAATTGTTAAATATTAATCATATGTTTTAGTATTAGTATATACGATTTTTTGTTTTTCTTATTCCTTTATATTTTGCAATAAGACCGTTTACTAATAAACAGAGATGCAACAAATATCAATGAGGATAAATTTTCTCTCTTCTGTGACTAGTAGACAGCTATTTTACAACTATTAATTCAATTTTAGATATATTTCTTACTAAAAACGGAATGACTGAACGTAATGCTCAAATTCGTGCTACATTAAATACAAAACTAATTGAAAGCGGAGAACGTGAACAGTATGTATTATGTAGAAAAAAATATATCATTTACTCTGTTTATTTCTTTACTTCTTCGATTTTAGAATGAAACAAATTTTACGACAAAGATTAATTGAATACGGTTGGAGAGATCAAATGAAATCATATTGTAAAGGTATATGTCAATATATAGCAGACATTATTCCAAATGAAAAAATATTTTAGAATATTGGTGCAAATTATTTTGAACTAGACAAGAGCCATTGCACGAAAGTAAAATCTACATTATTAAATCGATGTTTAAGTTTTTGGTTCAAAATTTTAGCATAGATACGGGCAATAT